GTCAATTATTTAATCAAAACACATAATAAGACGAAATAATGGATCACCGTCCATCGGACATCATGATGCGTGCATGATGCGATGAAGAACGGTTCATCGCCCTCAACTATGAATATTATTTATCTGTGAATGATATTTGACCCATAGTTTTTGGAAGTGGAGATTGTTAAGTTAAGGGAGGAGGCCCCCAAAAAATATTTTAGATGAGAGTTGAGACTCCTGCTTCCTCGCAGCAAACACGCAGCAGTCACTAACAACAATTAAGAGTCATTCAAAGTTCTGATTTTAGCAAACTTATTCTCAAACTGACTGACATGTTGAGACCAACTAATGATATAAAAACTAGTTCATTCGAGTCAAATCAAGTTCCGATCAAGTCATTAAACTACTCTTGGAAGAATTAAACCGATGCCGAATCCGGCGAGTGCATTAAACGCTGTTTGATTGAACGAAGCTCTCCGGACGTCTGATCAAAATGATTCATATTTTTACATTAATTGCACCCGAAACATTATAAATAAACTCCCACCTCTCACATGAGGGGGGAGTTAGAGCTTTGAGTGGGAATTTAAGGCTTTGAGAAGGAGTTGGTCCAGCACCACCCCGTCATTATAAATCTATTTTTATTCCTGATGTGATAAGCATATGGACCTCTAAGAGATTCCATATTTTTATTGCGGTGCACATACAATTGTTGTCATCTGATCCAACTACATATTATTTTCCATGTAGTCATTGTTATAATGTAGTTGTTTGGCCAAAATTATTCTGGTTATATTGAAACATTTTGCTAATATGATTTTGTTAGTCTCAAGGATCATATCACCAGCATAACCTTAGTTTGAGATGTTATCCATAAATGCCTCTCATTAACTTTATGAGGAAATTTTTTTAGCTTTTTGGTATTTTGGGTGCCCTAATAATATCTTAGACGCTTGCAATACTGAATCTTGAGAAATTGAAAGTTTAAGGAAATAAAAGCTTAAAAACTTATTACCTTTAGAATAATTTAAGCCACCCTATTATTTTTCTATCATAGATGTAAGAAAATTATTCATGTCCTACTCTTACTCTACTTTTATTTATTGCCTTTAAGATTGGATTCTATTGTCTATTAAGGAGTATACTGACCCAAAGGTATATCCCTTTTATATTAAGTTAGACGAGCATGACTTGAGTCATTTTTATCATTTATCATTTCCTTTCGTTCACACCTCACTTCAAAAAATTTTGTAGATATCTTTAAATTTTAAAATTAATATTTGCTTTTAATTCTATTATATATATATATATATATATATATATA